CGTGCGCCTGGCACCGCGGCCGGGACACACAGTCGCATGGAGACCAGGCGGCGCCCAGCCCTCCCTCGGCGGGCCCGGGCTCGCCCGCGCTCACGGGCGCCTGGTCATCCCTCACTGAGGGTAGGATTTACGTTGACATTTGGGAGGGAAAGGACACGTGCAGGAAGAGCAGTGCACTACACAGGGTCGGACCTCTAACCGTTCACGTTAAAAAACGTGTTATTTTTGCGACTTTCTCAGTGAGCTATACTATTGAGTCTGCCCTAGACAGTGTCCCTAGCACTGGTCATCGGATTCTGGCCGACACCCAGCTGCCTCCCTGCCAGGAGATTCTGGGGGCACCTGCTTATGGTCTCCTAGAGGGACGCACAGGACACGGGGGTCCCCCTTGCAGGACGTCTGCAGCAGCACCTGAGCCCACACAGCAGCATCCATCCCCCAGGGCAATCTGCAGGTGGCCTTGGTCTATTGCCAGTCTCTGCTGCCCGGACCAGGAGGGTGTGCCGTGCTGGACTGCAGCAGGACCTGGGGGCCAGCCCCTCCCCTACAGGGTGTCCAGGCAGGCAGTGACCCCGTTGGCACTGTCAGCATATGGGGTGTGCAGAGCCCTGCCTATAACCCTGGGTCCTCTTGGGGCCTGCAGAGTAGTTTAGCAGCCCCAGCAGCAGGTGAGGACGCCACTGAAGCCTCACGGCCTTCAGCTGTCACAAAAGCGGGGGTGGGGATAGGGACACTCAGATTCCCCAGTAGCTGTGCAAAGCTCACCCAGGCTAGTCTTCAGGCATTCTCATTCTCATCCCTGGGGAAGGGACTCCGGCCCTGTCCAGCCCCTCCTGCACCAAGCTCCAGCCCCAGGCCTTGACAGCAGGTCACCTCTGCCCCTCACCTGCGGGGGACTGAATGTCCCCTAGCACTGATGCCCCACTCCCACCGGCCTCGCAGTGCCTGCCTGGGCAGAGTCGACCACCATGCCCAGAAGCAGCCTGGTTTATTTGCAGAGAAGGGGAGCCAGCTGGCCCTCACTCCTGGCCCCCAGGCTCTCTATGGACCAGGCTGTGTGCCTTGCCAGTCACCTCGCCTGGGCAAGTGAGGTGGTCGTGCAGGACACATGCCACAAAGGCTCCCTGTGGCCCTGGGCCTGGGTTTGGCAAGGACAGGGCTCCTTGGAGCTGGTGGGCCAGCCCCATGGGTCCTTCCCAAACCAGAGGTATGGGATAGCACAGGGCCTCAGGGCTCATCCTGGGCCTGGAGGTTTGTAGTCAGGCAGGGTACAGGACAGAGAGGATTGGGGGCATGCAGCAACCCAGGCAGGAGTGCTGGGCACCTGCCCTCCCCGCAGCTGCAGCTGTTGGACAAGGCACAAAGCGGGCTCTGTTTACCGTGGCCCTGGTCCCAGGGGAAGGGTGTGTTACCGGCAGGCAGGCAGTCCCTAGCAGCCTTAAAGGACCCAGCAGCTAGCCTTTGTGGGAGGCCTCACATGCCCTGCGAGGAGAGGCACATGGAGTGCTTCCTCCCCGTCAGGACAGGAGCCTCTGCCACCCCGCTGGCCGAGAGCTTCCCTTAACCCCCCAGGGAATCCTCCAGGCCTCAGAGCCCTGCAGAGGGTCCCTGACCCCGGCGTCAGGTCCACAGGGCAGTCCTGGAATAGGGGCTGGGACCATAGCTGGGGTGCAGGAGCCTGGGGGCCAGCCCTGAGAAGCCTAGGGCCTCATGGCTCCAGAGCCACTTGTGAGTTCAAGGTGAGGGCAGAGGACCAGAGGAGGTCAGGGCCAGGGGACTGCGGACCTGGGGGAGGGAGGTTAAAGGAACTTGAATGGGAGCAGAGACAGGGTCACTTGCTAGGAGGCGCCCCTCTCTCAGCAGCCACCCTCTCCTACCCGTGCTGACTGAGGCAGGCCTGGGAAGGGCTGGGAGGATATGAATGGCTACACTGAAGATTTTCTAGAAGCAGGCACAGCAAGGTCCCTGACAGGCAGTCCTCTGCCATCTGACCCACGCCGGTCTAAGCCGTGCATTCTGGGACACCCAGACCTCCCTGGTTGGTGGTGTGGGGGTGCTGGGCGGTGGCAGCTGTGGGCTCTAGGTGGCTGGGCCTTGCCAGCTGCCTGGTGTCCAGTTACTCGCTGGCCAGGCAGCAGACAGAGCTTCCTGTGTGGAAACCGGAGCGTAACTGGGAAGCCTCCCCGGGCGGGCAGGAGCCTGGGCTCCCAGAGGCCCCTCTGCGTGACGGAGTGGCCTGGCCTTCCCTCACCTGCCTAGGTAGCCTTGGTCAACCCCCCGGCGCAGCCAGGGACCCGGGCGCTGCCTGTGCAAAATAGGCCTGGCCTTGCCCCGTGGGGTCCAAGTGGACTTCCAGAGGTCCCCCACCCCCAGCTGAGCACCTGGATGAGTATGGGCCCAGAGCTGGCACAGCGCCCCCTGGGGGCCGAGGGAGCACAGGCCAGTGCACCTGAGAGACCCTGGACTGGAGGCCCAGGACCCAGGGCCAGGTGCCTTGGGCACCAGTTAAGTCGAAAGAGAAGGCAGCGTAGAACTGGGATGGGGGGGGGAGGCACCTCAGAGACCACCCCTGGACCCACACCTGGTGGGACTGAGGTTCCCCCAGCCCAGGCCTGGCTGGTTAATTAGAAGGGGCTTCCCTGGGGAAGGGACTCCAGCCCTGTCCAGCCCCTCCTGCACCAAGCTCCAGCCCCAGGCAGGGACAGCAGGTCACCTCTGCCCCTCACCTGCAGGGGACTGGATGTCCCCTAGCACAGATGCCCCACTCCCACCAGCCTTGCAGCGCCTGCTTGGGCAGAGTCGACCACCACGCCCAGAAGCAGCCTAGTTTATTTGCAGAGAAGGGGACCAGCTGGCCCAGAAGGCTGACACTCTGGGGCCCCTGCTCCCCAGAACAATGGGCAGGCTCCTGAGTCGCCCCTGTGGACAGCGGGATGTGGGATGGTCTGTGTGGCTACCCCTCACAACTGCTGGGAGGCCAGGACCTCAGGGTTCTCATAGCAGTGGGCCTCTTTGGTGGCAGACTGAGGGGGGCTGCAGGCCCTGCAGGGGCAGCACCGGGTTACCAGACGGTCCCAGGGCTCCAGGGAGCGGAGCCAGAGGGGAAGCCAAGCCCAGGACCGCAGGCCCGGGGGCAGCCAGGCTGGCCGGCGCCGCTGCAGGACATTGACCAGGATGAGTATGAGCACGAGCCCTAGCAGGGGACCCCCGACTGCAGCCAGCACAGGGCCCCCTGCCAGGGACAGCCCGAAGGCTGCCAGGGGCAGCAGCAGAAAGCTGAGCAGCAGGTAGGCGACAGCCACCCAACGGTAGCGCGCGGTTAGGTCCCCGAAGCGCTTGGCCAGTGGAATGGGCAGCCGCAGGACAGGTACCACGTACCACAGCACTATGCCGGCCAGGTTGAAGAAGAAGTGGATGAGGGCGACCTGGCGGTGCAGGATGGGGAGGGTCAGGAGGCTGGCCCCACCGTGAGGCCACCTGGGGGCCCTGTGCTGCGCAGCCCATGGAAAGGGCGCTGAGTCCAAGCTTGGCTGGCTTACTGCTCGGGGTTGAGATGGGCCACCTGGCAGGGCAGGCTGTGGCCAGGTGGGGGCACTCTGCTCCCACACTGCGCTGGCTGCCGGGGGCCAGGCCCCTCCTGATTCGGCTTTGCCTGGGGCCCTGCCTAGAACCCCTTCTCGACCAACTGGGGTGGGCTGTGCCATGCAGTGGGCCCCTGAGTGGAGAGAGACGGGCCATGCACGGACTGCTGGATGCAGAGGAGTGCAGCAGAGGGGCGGGGCAGGACCTGCACTGAGGGTCTGAGCACGGGGTGGTAGAATCAGGACTGTAGGAGGAGCCGGAGGGCAGGGCTGACCTCCTGGGGAGAGGCAGTCAGTGTGACCTGAGCCCTGGCAGGGGGAGGCTGGAGCCAGGGCGGTGGGCCACAGCCGGGTGCTTAGCTGTGGCAAGTCAGTGGGGCGCAGAGGGAGAGCGCTGGGGGGCTGCTGGGTTTGAGGCCCATGTGCGGGGAGGAGGTTGTGGGGAGAGGCACCAGGGAGGTGGTGCAGCAGAGCGCGGCAGGCCGCAGGCTGCCCAGCCTCCCCAAGACAGAGGAGCAGCGAGCTAGGGTAGGGGCGCCAGGGTGCCTCCGGCGAGGGGTGCAGTGAAGGGGAAGGGGCAGAGGGAATAAGCGAAGGTCTGGAGGTGAGAAGTCTTGGAACAGAGCAGGCTAGCGGTCAGAGAAGGCGGGGTGCAGGCCCGGGCAACCCAGAGCAGCAGGGCAGGTACCTGGACGGCTGAGGGCAGCATGGCCGAAGGGCTGGCCAGGGCAGCCAGCAGGGCCGTGGTGGTAGTGCCGATGTTGGAGCCCAGGAAGAGGGGGTACGCGCGCTCCAGGCTGATCACTCCGACCCCTGAGGAGCCAGGGGTGAGGCAGGGCCTGGCCCCAAGCCCCAGGCCCCGCCCCTGGCTCCCTCAGGCCCCGCGCTCACCCATGAGCGGGACGACGGCCGCGGTGAACACACTGCTGCACTGCAGCATGAACGTGAGGCCGGCGCCCACCAGACCAGGATGGCCAGGTAGCCGCTGAGCCAGCCCCAGGGGAAGGGGAAGTCCGCGTTGATGACCGTCTTCACCGCCTGGGCGACTCGGCCGCGCAGCACGGAGTTGAGCAGCTTGACGATGAGCACCAGACAGCTGCACAGCACCAGCAGGGAGCCCGCCAGCAGCACGAAGCCCACCGCCAGGTCGCTCAGCGCCACGCTTGCGAACAGGTGGCGGCCTGGGACCGGCAGGAGAGAGGGGGCGTGGGGAAGGGCGGCGAGCGTGGGGGCGGGGGAAGGGGGAGCAGGCGAGGGGCGGGGCCTTACAGGGCAGCCTGTCCGTGGGGGCGGAGCCATTCCCGGTGCAGGGGCTGAAGGCGCCACATTCGCTGCTGTTCCCTTGGGTCTGGGGGATGCAGAGAGGACTCAGGACGGGCTCAGTGGGAAGAAGAGGTCAGAGGGCGCAAGCGTAGGAGCGGGTGGAGCTGGGTGATTCAGCAGGTGGGGTCAATGGAGGGCTGGGGTCAGCGGAGGGCTGGGCTCAGAGGCACCTCACCAGCTCCCCTCTGGTGCCACACCATCTCTTAATGAGGCTGCTGTTGGTGGCGCTGCCTGAGATCACATCGGTGTCCAGCTGGAGGACAGCACTGTCATGACCTGCTCTGCACCCTCCCTCAGGACCCCTGGGGTTTGCGTGCCCACAGGGTCCAGGGAGTCCAGCCCTGCACACTCCACAGGGCCCAGCCCCAGCCCCTGTGTCCCGCGCAGCAGCCAGCCCTGCCCACCTGCACGATGAGGTGTGTGAGCGGCCGTGTCAGCACCTTGAGGATGTCAGGGGCCTGTGCCCCAGGCTGCAGGTGGGTGGCGGCCAGGGTCAGCTCACTGAGCCTCTGCAGCACAGCGGCCGCACACTCCAGCGGCAGCAGGACCAGCACCGTGAGCCAGTTGAAGATGCCGTGCACTGCTGAGCCACCGAAGGCCCTGCACAGACAGCGGCGTCTGTCCACTCTCTGCGGGCAGGGCCCCACCGCCCACATCCCTACTCACCTCCGGAACTCATCCCGGTCCCCCGACTGCGCCATGGAGACCAGGGTGCTGGTGATGGAAGTGCCCACATTGACCCCCATGATGATGGGCACGGATGCCTGAACGGTCAGCACTGTGGAAGTGAAGGTCAGCCTTCCCTCGCCCAGAGCGCGCACGCCCGCCCAGACCCATGCTCCCCCAAGAGGGCGTGTTCACACCAGGACTGCGACACCCAGAGAGTGCGCTCACACCGGGAGCCCCGGGAGGGCACGCTCGCACCATGACCCTCCCCAGGGCGCGCTCACACCCGGAGCCCCGAGAGAGCATGCTCACACCATGACCCTCCCCAGGGCACGCTCACACCGGAAGCCCCAAGAGGGTTGCTCACACCATGACCCTCCCCAGGGCGCGCTCACACCCGGAGCCCCGAGAGAGCATGCTCACACCATGACCCTCCCCAGGGCACGCTCACACCGGAAGCCCCAAGAGGGTTGCTCACACCATGACCCTCCCCAGGGCGCGCTCACACCCGGAGCCCCGAGAGAGCATGCTCACACCATGACCCTCCCCAGGGCACGCTCACACCGGAAGCCCCAAGAGGGTTGCTCACACCATGACCCTCCCCAGGGCGCGCTCACACCCGGAGCCCCGAGAGAGCATGCTCACACCATGACCCTCCCCAGGGCACGCTCACACCGGAAGCCCCAAGAGGGTTGCTCACACCATGACCCTCCCCAGGGCGCGCTCACACCCGGAGCCCCGAGAGAGCATGCTCACACCATGACCCTCCCCAGGGCACGCTCACACCGGAAGCCCCAAGAGGGTTGCTCACACCATGACCCTCCCCAGGGCGCGCTCACACCCGGAGCCCCGAGAGAGCATGCTCACACCATGACCCTCCCCAGGGCACGCTCACACCGGAAGCCCCAAGAGGGTTGCTCACACCATGACCCTCCCCAGGGCGCGCTCACACCCGGAGCCCCGAGAGAGCATGCTCACACCATGACCCTCCCCAGGGCACGCTCACACCGGAAGCCCCAAGAGGGTTGCTCACACCATGACCCTCCCCAGGGCGCGCTCACACCCGGAGCCCCGAGAGAGCATGCTCACACCATGACCCTCCCCAGGGCACGCTCACACCGGAAGCCCCAAGAGGGTTGCTCACACCATGACCCTCCCCAGGGCGCGCTCACACCCGGAGCCCCGAGAGAGCATGCTCACACCATGACCCTCCCCAGGGCACGCTCACACCGGAAGCCCCAAGAGGGTTGCTCACACCATGACCCTCCCCAGGGCGCGCTCACACCGGGAGCCCCGGGAGGGCATGCTGACACCAGGACCCTCCCCGGGCGCACTCACACTGGGAGGCCACCATGCTGACTACAATGGAGGAGGAGGTGCTGGAGCTCTGCACGAGGACTGTAACCAGCACGCCGATGACCAGCCCTGCCACGGGGTTGGATAGCACCACGTTGTCCTTGAAGATGTCTCCGGCCACTTTGCCTGCTCCCAGGAAAGGGGCATGCTGAGACAGCAGAGGGCTTGCTGCCCACCCCGCCCTGGCTGCCCCAGTCACTCACTGCCCAGCAGCTGGAAGGCGGAGCTGAGGGTGTCCAGGGAGCAGATGAAGAAGTAGAGGCTGCCCAGGAGCCCACAGGCCTTGAGGAAGCTGCTGGCCACCCGGCGCAGCCTGCCCACCACGCTGAGCTCTGAGGACACAGGACAGGCTGTCCCCCAGCTCTCACTCTGGCCCTTCCTCCTCTGCCCCCCAGCTCAGGGCCATGTCTCCTGGGTCACCTCTCAGGCAGAGTCCTAGAGCCTCCTGTCCCTCCCACCAGGCAGGATCTCACTTCCTCCTCTTCCGCAGCCCCTAGGGCAGGACCAAGGTCCCCTCCACTGTTCCCTCTGGGCCATTGTGGAATGGCCACACCAGCAGCTCCCGTGGCCTCCCAGGAGCCCCCACCAGGAAGGAGGAGGAGAGGTGATTTCCCATTCTCAGGATGGGTCAGGCAGCTGGTGGGCAGACACACCAGTCTCTGGGGCAGTGGCCTGCTTGGTGGCTGGCTGTGTGGCCCTGCCCCTCTCCCCAAGGACCTAGAACTCAAGAGGCCTGCCTGCCCCAAGCACCTGGACCTACCTTCCCATGATTGGCCAGTGTCCTTCAACTGCGGGAGAGCCCAGGGGTCTAGGACCCCCTCTTCCAAGACAGGGGGAGAGCTGGATACCCCTGCAGGGGTGGAGTAGGCGGTGTCCAGGAGCCCCCCAGGTGGGGACAGCCAGCACGGGGTGAGGGACAGGGCTTGAGAGGGAGAGCAGGAAGCAGGAGGGCCGGAGTCTCCAGCCTGCTGGCCCTGGCCAGCACCTTCTGGAAGCACACGCCAGCCCTGCACGCCTGTGGGGAGGCCGCCAGCGCGGGCTCTGTACCTGCAGCGCTAAGTCCGTAGCCCCCCAGGTTGACTGTGTCCAGAGTGGGGCGAGCCAGTTGGTCACCAGCGAGGGACTTCGGCATGGACTTCAGGCAGGGATGGACCCAGGCCCAGCCCAGATCTGCTCGGGGAAGAGGTCAGAGGCATGCCCTGCTGCCCAGCCCGGGTGGAGTTGAATCGGGTCCGAGGTCCCTGACCTGAAGCCTCGGTCTGTGCCCCCCACCCCCCCAACACACACTTCCTGCAGACCTTGGTGACCTCCCTCCCCACCCGTAGCAGGGTGGCTGCAGTGATCTCAGGCGGCTGTTGGGGGAGCCCAGTTCAGCTCTGGGGGCAGATCGAGAGGTCCCTGGCTCCCGGCTCCCTGCTGGTCCGGGCTGGAAGAGGCCTGGCAGGAGGCTCAGGGTGCAGGGTGCTGGGGAACCTGGGACCTGTCCTATCCAGTGTCATTGGGGACACCTCGGATGGTCCCGGTGTAGACTTTGGCATTTGATAGCAACGGTGACGTTCGGGCTTGATAAGGGCCCCACCCCTGGTGATGAGGAGCAGCCCCCACTGCTCTTCAGACAGCCCTCCAGATCTGGGGCCGTCCGGACTTCCCAGGCCTGGGGCCAGGTGCGGGGTCCTCTGTCAACCCCCCTCCTGCCTGTCCCCAGGCCGGTCTCTCTGGTCCTTAGGTCCAGGAGGCTCAGGATGGGACCCTGGGCTCCTGGCCCTAGGAGCTCCTACCTGTGTGGGTGGTGAGGGGCACCTGCCGGGAAGAGGTGTCGGGAGAGCAGGAGCGCTGCAGGTCAGAGATCTGCACGTGACCTGCTGGGCCTGGGCCGCCTTTAATGTTTACCCAAGAGCTGAGGCCCCTGAGGGGGACCCGCCTGGCCCAGGCCTCAGGTCTTGCCCGGCCTGTCACCCCCAGGGTTCACAGTTCTGAGCTGCAGCCCAGCCTTAGCATGGGCTTTCTCCCGGGATGGCTCCAGGGCAGTCCAGGGCCTTGCAAAGCTGAACATGAGCAGGCCCTGCTGCCCGAGGTGCTCTGGCTGGGGCCCTGTCTGCCCACCCTCCAGGTCCCTTGACACTCTGCTGCCCCCAGTGGAGGCCAAGCAAGATGAGCCCTTTGTACCAGCTGGGCTGGGAGGACGCTTTCCATGTGGCCAGGGGAGTGCCCAGGCCCTGGGGTCAGCCAGTTCAGATCCGGGTTCAAGGCAGGGCTGAGCCTGGCAGGGCTGCAGATGGGCTCAGCCCCTACAGCCAGCAGCACCAGAGTGTCCTGTGTCCACAGCAGCCTTGTGGATCACACAGTTGCCGGCTGGGCTCTGAGCTGCTCCATTTCTGGCGGGAGACCCCTTCTTGGGGTCAATCCCCTTCAGCCTCCGGGGCACCAGGAGGAAGAGCTGCTGTGCCAGGAGGAATCCCTCAGGCCGGGTCTGCCCAGGTGACTGCTGGCCCAGCCCCTGCTCCTCGCTGCCCAGCCCCGCTGCTGCATGCACGGAGGACTTTGCCCTGTAGGATGAGGCAGTTCTCAGTGTCCACTCAGCAAATTTCCCCTCTCCTTGCCCTGCCCTCCACTGCCAAGGGCTGGGGCTGGAGTCCCTCCTGGGGCCCTCCCCGTGGGGATGGAACTATGAGCCCTGGTTTAGAGGTGATTTAGAGGCTGTCAGCTTCTACGGTCTCTGGGCCTAAAGGGCTCTGCATACTGACTGCTGGAGGCAGAGGGAGACTAGGAGCCAGGAGATGGCCGCTGGGGGCCCCCCACAGCGTCATCTGTGGTGCTGTGGAAACCCGAGTAGTGGGACCAGTGGCCAGCACAGGAGGGAGCTGGGGACCGGAGTGCTGGGCTTCACAGGGCTGTGCTGGCCAGATGAGAGGTGGCCTGCCCTGCCCTCCCGGCTCACATCTCTGGGTGTGCTCAGACAATGGCTGGCCCTGCCCCTTTGGCCTGCAGCCTGGCCCCTGGATTGGCCCCCAGAGCCTCCAGGGACCCAGCCTCTGAGCTGATGGACAGCAGGGTCACCACCACGCTCCTGCAGGCATTGGGGTCCTGGCCTCCGGGGTGGAGAGATTGCAGCACCTGTCTCAGGGCACTGTGGGCAGAAGCCCCGCCTTCCACTGTCCCGGGGTGTCCACGGCAGGGATGGTGGCCCAGGCTCTGCCACCAGGCCAGGTTGGAAAGGCCGCGCAGTTGGGTCTGGAGCAGGCCTGCCCTGGTGGCAGGGAAGGCAGCTGCTTAGGCCTCGGGGTGGCCCCAGGAGTCCCAGCAGAGGCCACCACAGCCCCAGCAGCAGCGTGGGGATGAGGGAAAGTGGGGCTGGGGACCCAGGGTGGGGCAGGACAACGCAGCAGGCTGCTGAGTGGTGGCGCCACCCTTGAGGGGCGTTGGAGGCTGGGGCTCCCGCTCGGCCTTGACTGCCAGGAAGGCGGCCAGGTCGAGGTCCAGCATGGCCACCCCTCCGCGCGGCGTGGGCGTGCTCTGGCGGCACTGTGGGCACGGGATCCAACGCTGCTGGTGCACCAGCGTGTCCAGTTGCCGCACACACGTCTGGCAGAAGGTGTGGCCGCAGTAAAGGCGGCGGGGCAGGTGCCTGGCCAGGTCGTAGGCAGAGTAGCAGATGGTACAATCGCTCCGGGTCCCTGCGGCGCCCCCCACAGCCTGGGTGCTGTCGGTCGGCAGCATCCTGCGTGTGCCCACAGGAGAACTGGTGGTGGGTGGCAGCACAGCCTGCCCCTCCTCTGCGTGGACAGGGTGCTGGACCCCGGGAGCCCACCCCAGAACAGGAGCTGGCCTGAGGGCTGGCTGGTGCTGCAGACCTGGGAGGGACCCAGGTCTAGGCACAGTGCCCGCTCCGTGGCCCTGCCCATGCCTTCCTGCTTGGCCTGGGCCCCCGCCTGCCTTGCTAAGCGCCAGACCCTCTTACCTGCACCTCCGCTGGGCTCTGCCTCGCAGGGGGTGGCCAGAACTCAGGGATGGGGACCCAGGTCGCCCACAGGCTCCTCTCTGGGCTCGCATTACGGCAGCACCAGGACTCAGCAGGGGGCAGGTGTGGAGGGCTGGGCTCCCCTTTCAGCCACAAAGCCTTGCAACTGAATCCAGCAGCACCGCCCAGTCGCCCAGTGTGTGTGTGTGGGGAACACAGGCCCCTCCCGCTGCGGGCTGACCCTATGAACCCTACCAGGCCAGGCTGGCTGTGCTCACCCACTCTAGACCTTCCCTCCGTACCAATGCCCTCCCCCACTCTAGGACCCAAACTTTAAAGCCCTCCCCCACTGTCTGTCCCCCCAACTCCCAGGACCC